TTTGAATTTCGATTTAAAGCTTTCGTGACTGCAGGGATTCATCTTCTTGGTTCTTTCGGTAAAGTCACGTAGAAGGGAAGTAATAAAATAATAAAAATAAAACATAATATAAGGTGACTTTACCGAAAGAACCAAGAAGAAAAAAGTTAGTCCTGTATGTATTATTCAATATGTGAATTATTATAGATTCATGTAATCACAGGAACGTTCAAACATTTAACATGTATTTAAAATTTAAAGAGGAATACAACACTGCATCCTGGGAAGCGTTTCAATGTACCTTTATCTGTACATTTATGAGTATAACTGACGTTTAAATGATTCTGCCTTTCGTACTAAACATTGAAGACATGCATTACAAGTTGTCTGATGTTTATAATAAACAATGCAAATTGCTTGTATATTTATGCCTCTGTCTGTGAAGATGTGTGTGTGTGCGTGCGTACATGTTTTGTATACAGAAGCATAACTTAAGACTGCACAACATAAATGCACTTTGTTGGGTGCAGTGACATATACTATCACCAATTTTGCTTGCTGAAATAGTTGTGTACGTACATCTCTCATCGTGACTGCACTCACAATTACAACCAATGTATGTCTCAGTTCGCCTTTGCTTGACGCAAGCGGTTTGTTTTCTCACAAAAACATACGATTTATTGAAACCACGAGAAGGCTTATTTATTGAATTGGCTTTGCTGAGCTTGATGAAAACTTGAATTTCCATGGAAAGGGTTATTCCTTATGTTGACGGAGTTGCTAAGCAAGTAGAAAAAATTAAAGGCCACATTGCTTGCTGCCTTCAATCCACACAACTGTCTCTTCTACTGTGGGTCTTATGAAACAGAAGGGGAAACCTTAGATCAGGTGCTAAACTTGCAATGCCACACTATAAGCCAGCTGGCCCTTGTTGATACCAAGCACCTGAGGGGACTTCATCTTAACCCGACAAAAAGGCGATGCTTAAAACTCAAAATCCGCCGATGTTGCTGCTATCAGTTTATGAAAAACAAATGCATTGTTTTAAACGTATCCGGTACTGGAATTGTAATTATTATTTTAACAGATGTAAACATTTAAAAGTGCTTTTTTTCTGACATAGATAAGGAATGTCCTCTGTATTTTTTATGCATTTGGAAAAAATCAAGAGGTCAAAGGTTTAATGGTTAGTTAAATAAGAGGAAAATTAAATGTTAATTGTTTAGTCCTAATCTAAACACTGCCTCCTTGCCCCTAACATTTAACCTTCATTACTATGTAATTGCAGTAAGATACCATCCATTATTTACTCTGCCGGAATTAATTACGCGACAAAACCAAGTTCAATTTTCGAGCAAGTTGGACTAGCCATGGGTAAAAGATTGTTGCCTATCCACAGATAACGACGTGCGTCTGTTTACAAATTCAAGTATAATCTGCTAAGTTATCTCGAAAAACATTTTAACAAATGAGCTGGGGCGTTACCAGTTAATGACCTTGAAAGAGCAGTCAACTTCCCTTGTAACTGTACAGGTGGTACCTTTTGTATTAATGGAACATTAAGCAATCAGCTGAAAATGACACCGTACATTCTGCTCCTGTTAACTAATAGTACTGCATTACCAAAATCATCACAAAGGACTCTGATCAGGAACCACAAGGGGATCCTGATAACCCTCCAGTTAATGTTGTTTTAAATTCGCACATTACACAAATGAAAAGGCAATTATTCTGCACAATATGAATTTTTAAAAGTGCTTTTAAATTGAAGTATTTAAACGTTTTTCTTGGTGGTGGGAAGAAAAACATTATAATCACGTAACTTTGTTTTACATACCATTATTTGGCAGTGTACACTGATGAATTATTGATGATTTAATAAACATATGGTGCTGATTATAATACATGGCACCATGCAAAGGGTAGAATTACTTATGTTCCGACAGAAAGAACAGCAGTGCCCTCAAGTGGATAAAACGGTATTGACTAATCAATCATATACCCAGTGGTCCTCAAAATCCTTGGAATTGTTTCCCCCCTCAATCAAAACCACTGGCCCCTTTGCCCCCCACCCCTACCTCAATTTCTATGGGCTACAATACAGAGTGATCGCATGTCCACATCTCTAGCCCATGCGCTGTTAGTAAGGCATTTACTTGATCCTGTGTTTCGAGTGGTTGTTTTTTCGTCACCGCGACGCGGCTTTGACATTTGACATGCACAGCGGTTCTGAACCTGGGATGCAGACATAATTGTGGCTTTCGCGACAAATACTATACACAACAGGAGGATTCCTCCACAACTCTGGCTGTCGCCTCATGAGGCTGGTTGTTATAATTACCGGTGAAACGTCGTACTCGAATTGAAAATGTTGCAGTGGGTTTACCCTCCAACATACCGGTGTGCTGAACTAGTAACAAATCACCATTGGTACCTCATTTGCCAGTAAAAAATATGATAATTGTTTTTTTACCCTTTTATCTGGCAACAAAACTGCTTACCCCGAGCTCTCATACTCTGATGGTGCATTGTCTTTGAGTTGTGCGCCTTTTGGCGTCATCTGGTCCAACCCATGTGAGACTAGGCTCTAAGGAAAGCTGTCTCGGGTGTGGACTAATCAACTTCAAGGACAGTGCATACATTATCAGAGTTATGTTTTTTGTTTGCATCATGGCTGCAGGTATTGTGGTCTATGCAAACATGACTCCTCGTAAAAAAAGGTGTCAGTTTTGTTGCCAGATAAAAGGGTAAAAAACCAATTATCATAATTTTGTGTACGTGACGAAACTTACTAATTGGCTGTGTCGGGTGGTGGCGGGTTTAACGACACATTTATATTTACACGATCTAACCCCCCCAGCCCCCCCCCCTCTATTTTGTGCTTATCCTGTAGAACGAGTACAACATTTAAGGACGGTACAGGCGTGATCACAGCAATCGCTGCTGGTGCTGCAAGCAACATCGAGATACGCTGCACAACAAGAGACCGTCTGCTCTGTTCCCTGTCCCCTCGAAAACCACGATGCTTCACAAAGCTGGAGGAACGATGAAATTGGATTTGGGTAGCGATAGCATCCCGACTGCGAGCGGCCCCCATGGGTTTTCCTGGTACGAGTAAGGGGATCTTGTAGTACGTTAAACATTCATCTTGCAGACATCATTGTTCCACGGCTTGTTCTGTTATCCTTAGCCAAGGCTTACAAAGCAATCATTTTTAAAAGCCAAGAATAATAATCCTGCATATATATTTTTAATGAAATGCATTTTTTTTTACACTCTTAACAACGGAAATTAACGTGCTCGTAGTGTACACACGGCGGTGTGGCGTTACATCTTCCTGTGCGTATTGGATCAGAGCGGCGCTACGATACCTTTGGGAAATCCACAAACGCTAATTCTGCTCAAGAATAGACTCTCTCTCTCTCTCGCCAGCGTAGCTCGCCCCTGCGTGTGTTGGGACTGCATCTCAACGTTGACATTTATACTCGACCGCCAAGCCTCTAGTGCCCACTTTGTGCCAATGGAAGGGTCCATCAGGATGGAGTCCCCAGCAGAAGCGGTGTCTGTGATGTTCCTGATCTACCTCTCAGCTGGATGGCGTATCTACGTGTACTGGGCAGTCCTTTCGTGGATCCGCTGTTGGCTGAGGCCCTCGTCACACCGGTGAAAAAGAGCATTGCAGCTCATCGGATTCATCCGGTATAAATATTCTGATTCCGATATTGACCATTCTGCTGTCCACGACATAGGCACGTCACCTATAACACCTGGTATTCATGACGCCCATCCAAGCACTGTCCAGGTTCAACAGTACTGCATGGTGTACATTCGTTCATAATTATATATGGGAAAATATACTGTATGCATTACAGTGTAAATCAAAGACCTCTTCGTTGTATTATTGTAACGGTATTCTTATAAAGCATCCATCCAAAACTTTAAAAATATTCCACATCTGCCAAAACGCAGCAAGTTAATAACTGGTATCACTGTAAATGTTTTCTGCATAGCTATGATTCGGGAAAACACTCTTTAAAACGCTCAAACACTCCGTGTGCTCCACTGCACGAACAATGCTGAATGCTGAACTCCATACCCTGATCAATAATCGATAGGAATTCTCTCCACACTCTACAGGGTGGTCCAGACGTCATGTGACCCACATTAAATTCTCTAAAATGTTTTTAAAGTAAGGTTTATTTAAAACAGAAATTAATATGCAAAGGAAAAAAAATGTTAGGGGTTAATTAATTGGAGCTCAAGACATCTGGACCACCCTGTAGACCAGCGTCATGTTATTGTGTTGCTAAAGTTGCGTTGGGACACATTTGCATTTTCAATTCGAAATTAGACTTGGAACGTTTTTGCACAATATATTGCAGATTGGTTTTATGCTGTATGATAACAGCGTATAACTCCTTGTGTATTATAATCTTCATATTAACCACGTACAAGGATCAAATTTAACAATGTTTTAAAAACCACTGCTGGATGGCCCTTCCACACCACGATCGGTCGGATTGCCACCTGTTCCGTTTTTCCGAGGGATCATCCTCTCGAGACAGCTGGGGAAATCTTTTAAGGTTTCTCTTCTTCCTGTATTTTGAGATATTATTCTTCCCATGCACTTCAGTTGGCAACCCAGCATATCAAGACACAAGGGATGTTTGACCATACTTTACCACGTTGGTCAGTGCAGGTTGGCGAAGGCGGTGTGGTGGGGAAACAGACTTCAGTTCAGATATCACCACTAATCGCAGGCATGGCCAGACATCGAACTCAGGCGGCCAGGTTCAAAGTGTATTGGGGGCAACCATTGTACCACGCTGCTCCACTTACAAAATGCAACTGCTTTGCGTTGTCCTTCGCCTGCACCTCCGATTATCAAGGTTGACTACGTACGGTGCGAAAGAAGTCCAAGATACAACTTGCAGCGGACAGTCAGTGCTTCGTAAAAAGATGTCAATGGACGAGGTACACGTGTGCAATATTAACGAAACGAAACAATTATACTACACCACGACAATACAACCATGCATGTTTATTCGCAAGCTTTTACAACATGAGAAACCCAACCACATATATTCGCACAACCACTGTTACAAAATCTTAAAAGTTATTTGTCTTTTTAAGATGCATCATTGAGCGACGTGTGCGTGCAACACACACTTCAGCAAAGTCTTTACTTAAGAGGAGAACATGCTTGTGCGGTTAAGCAGTTGTACCTTTTCTAAAGAAATCAATACAAAGGCACCTTGTTAATAATCATAAGGGGATCCAAGTGATACAATTATACCACAAAATAGCCTTTTCCCGGTCTGCACAAGATCGATGCAATACCCAACATCACTAACGTTTTAGCCAAAGCAATGCATGCTCTTTTGCACTACCCAGTGGTTATTCGGCTGATTACCATATAATCCATTAACCAACGCTGTTTATTCAAGGGCACACACCCGGGGCAAACCTTCCAAGAGTGAATCACATGCAAATTGCATGCAAATCAGCAGAGAATTGTAAGCAAAAGGAGTTAATTATTTAAATGTTGAAAATCAAATACAGGACATTTTTTAAAACCTATATTTTCACTTAGAAGTAACTTCGGCAGTTCATGCAGTCCCAATTGTCAACTATAATCAGAACAAGGTTTTACATTTGCTTATTCTCTATTGTACGAACTGTGCATTGAACTTCTTTCGCACCGTACGAAGCCAACCATGCTAATCGGAGGTGTTGATTACCTGGCTTGGCTGACAGTAGCAGCAAGAGGTCAAGTCAGGCCTGAATGCTAATACCTGCTCTTTCCCTGCCAAGTTAAAATGTTGGAAAAACTAAAAATATATCGCCATTCACAGATGAGTTGATTTTCTACGTTGCCACTGCATGAACTAAAGCTAAACATGTTCTCACACTGTGACTAATCACATCACTGTGAACGAACTGCGCATCCCAACTACTGCAAACGTGTTTAAAATGTGCAAACGCCACGACTGCTTAAAACGAGCGCTTTAACTTCACTAAATTGAAGCCCACACACAATTCGATGTTTTAAACCTTATGCACATCGCCTCTAAGTACAACTTATAGTAGCTCAATGCCACACACTTCTCCAACACTTTGTACAGAGTTAGTTGCGAGATTATCAAGTTACAGCCGGAGATGTTTACAAGTCAGTCGCGTAACCAATACTGACCCATAACAGATCACCCCTATCAAAGCTGCACTATTCGTGTGCGGGACTTGAGTGGTCGTTTGTCAAACGGAGCCCCACATTGACATACAAGGGATGAGGGAATTAACGTTAAACTGCTGTCCCCTGGCAGGGCCCATGAGCAGCAAAGGAAACACAAGGCAGACCCCCAACTTATACAATGAGGCCGATTCACAAGCAGCTTTTGCCAACACCTGGGAAATGTTTGGCGTTAAAAGATCACGCGGGGTGAGAGTTTGTGGTACATTTTCATGCATGAAACGCCGTCCCAAATTCACCTCATCCCCTCCTCCTCGGTCTTAATCAGACCTCTCGTTACGAAAATACCCCAATTAATTATAAGGTCGAACAGGTGAATAGGAATTTACTGTAAAGCATGCCCAGGTTTATCGTGTAGTATATCAAATAGGCTCCAAAAAGACGTGGTGTTTATGCCGACCCAATAACTCCACGAAGCCAACGTACGGAGAGGTACAGGTGCCCATTCATTGTTTTGCTGCAACAAGAAATAATGAAGAAACTCGCACCCCCTTCAGCAGCGGCAACACACCGATGCTTCCAATTCAATTTTTACACAACAAAAACAGTTCTTCCACATTAAACACAAATTAAAAAGATGAAAAGATTTTGGGATTATTTTTTTTACTAAACTTTTAAACAGAAAATACAAACGCATGCATGGCAGCAATGTAAGTTATACACTGCGCAGAAATGTTAAACTACACCGTTAACTTACTCTGCCATATCATACGTTTCATGAACACAATGTGCACTGTTTAATTAACAATTTGATACCTAACGTTTTACTTCTAATATTTTTTATATGCAAGGTTTATTTAAGAATGTGTAATTATATCACCGAGTATGGTCGTGTAAGTAGTGGTTTTAATGCAAAGAGTAAGAACATGTAATTTTAGCAACAAGGAATGTAGACCTTCATACTTTTAATAGTTTGTGGATTAATGTCCAAACACCACAATTTACTTATTGCTCCGTTGTTTGGTCACGATTGGCGTACGAATGGATGTATTTGCCTAATATAATACGGAGCTATTAAAAACATTGTTGAATACACTTTCCCATTAACTTTACATAAGCGCGCCACACAATTTCCAAAATAAAATTTTCTTAACAATGCTCAATCTTACACGATTAGTTTTCAGCACATTACTTAAAAATACTTGTTTTTTTACAATAAATATATGAAGGTAACGTCTTAGAAATACAGTATTTTAAGAACTGTGTACGCAATGATAACTGTACTACAAATATTAGTGGGTGGATTATACGTGAACACAATTAATTCAGATTATACGCGAATCTGAAAGAAACAAGACGATGAAAAGGTTTTGTTTCTGATAGCGCCCAATACGCTCGTCTGCGAGTAGGGGGTGACAATTTCTGTGTGTAATCCGAATTGAATAATTTGTGGATTAATTTCGAATTTGGCAAGCTTTGACTGCCACTGCACATGATTGTCCAAGTCCTGCGAATGGCCTCATGGTATCATTAACGTCCACTGTGTGAACCAGATGGCGCATTTTTGCGGTTCGTACACCCACAGTATTAATCAGGGCAGCATCTGGATTCGAATTGTGAACCTCTGCAGCAAGTGGCGAACGCTGTTCCGCTATCCCACGTGATCACCCCCCCCCCCCCATATAGGTGAAAATGTTGCAGGTCGGGCTGTGGTTTTGTACTCTGGCTACCTGCCAATTATCTAAATATGTTATTTTAAAAGTAGATTACCTACTTCAGTTAAGTATATTTGTTTTTCAATAGCAGTGGGCACAGGCTGCCAGGAAGAACCTATTAACTATGAATCTTGCAGCGAATCGTGCAGGGTTACTTGAATGGCAACACCGGTAAAACAAACAAACTAAAACCCGCTGAAAGCAACAACAGACAGAAAATGAATAATCAATACTGTTGCTAAAAGTAACAATGTTTCTTGATGCTCTTTAGTTCCTTCGGTAAAGTCACGTAGGTATAAAATAAAATACAAAACAAAATAAAAATGAATCAAATCACGACGTTTCGGAAGCAACACAAGCTTCCGTCATCAGGTGGGACAGCCACGGCAAGAAACAAATTGCTGTAGTGGGCAAAAGAGCTGCTTGTGACAAGAGATTATAATCTCTTGATGGAAGCTTGTGTTGCTTCTGAAACGTCGTGATTTGATTTTTTTTATTTATTTCATTTTATACCTACGTGACTTTACCAAAAGAACTAAAACATATGGATCATTGCAGTCACTAAAACTTAAGATCTAGAATGTTTCTTCATTTTAAAAAAATGTATTGTGTAATCTCAATAAAATTCTTACCACATTCAAACGTATATGTAAATAGCCGGTGTACAACATATATTAGCTCCGCAATTCAATTTATTTACCATTAACTTGTTGTGACAGCATAACTTGTGTATGACACAAAGTGACTTTTGGCATTCTAGATACATATATACAAGCACTGTGTACGATCTACTGCAAAAGGAGTACACTATTCAGGATTGAGAGCTGACGTGTTGCACTTTGCCAAAGCGATTACAGCAGCACTTAAAGCCAAGGCTCTTTTTTATTTTTTTAAACACTTAGCATTTGCTGGCCACACGTTTTTGTTAAGTTTGCTCGATAAAAGCCTACGGTGAATACAGACCGGACACGAAGCACTAAGTCTCCATTCAGCCAAGAGAAAAAAAAGAATACATCTTGTGTTTTACTACCACGCAAACCAAGTCAAGTGTGGCAAATAGAGTGCAATGAAAGTCACAGTACATCAGTGCAATAAACATTAACTCCATCGACCACACATCACAGTGTAAGGGGATTTTAGAACACAAAACACCTGGCATTAAGTGGCACCGCTTAGTTGCCAATTAAAGCTGTGTATATATGTCTACAAAATGAAACCAAAGTTTCTAAGGTGTGAAGTACAATTCCAATGTTGCTTCATTCTGAATAAAACTGTGAAAATGTTCAACGAATAAAACTTAAAATACCTCCCACATAGCGTTGACATGAATTCTCTTTGGTTTTTTCGGTAAAGTCACGTAGGCAAATAAATTTAATCACGACGTTTATTTTCCTCTTTTACCTACGTGACTTTACCGAAAAAAACAAAGAGTATGGACCCTTGCAGTCACGAAAACTTCAAATCTAGAATAGACATGCATTGTTCACTATTGCAGTGAAAATGGAATGGAGCAGCAGTTTTTTTCTTCAAGGCATTCACAACAACTGCACAACCCCAAGTGTGCAGAGGGGGGGGGGTCGTGAAAAAAACAATAAGATATAGAAGCACTTTTGCATTGTTTAGCTAGCCTCAATAACACAGCAACTGTATACCCACTAGTTATCATAGGATAAAATAAATTAAAATAATGTTCAGTACCACATTTTAGCCTTTTTTGTAAAATAATACATTTTGTGCACCGAAAGAAGTTTAAATGTCTAACTTTAATGAGGATCGTGTATTCTTCAAATTATTTCCTTCAGAAGCCACCTTTAATCCAGCTTTCAATGTCTATTGATCACAAACGTGTAGAACGCCTAACAACATACATATCGACTGAGGTAAATCGCAGACGAGGAATGCTGGAATGGAATGGCATCCGAGCGATCGAGATGTGAGGATCGTTGACCCGAGGCATGTGAACACCGTCCAAAACACATTTCACGAGCCAATCCCGCTGTGATGTCACACGCTCTAAAGATCAGCTACGAATTGGTTTACAATATCACCGGGGCTGGCTCGCGAATGTGGCATTGACGCAAGCTGCTGCGAATCGGCGAGTTGAAGCGAGCTTGGCGGTGTTGCGCATGCTTCTTAAACGACCGGTGAAAAGAGCCACACGCTCAGTTGCGCGTGGACCGGAACGGAGGGCTAGGCTGGTCGGTCTGTCCCTCGGGTTCTGTCCGCAATCCGAGGCCCGCCCTGGAACACTGCGGTTGGGCGGCCGTCGCTCCTGCCGCCGATTGTCCCTCCGCGCCGCGCTGCTCCCCTGTGCTTCTCAAGGCTCTCAAGGCATCATCCCACTCAACCATCTCCGGGTGCTGAAACTTCCCTGCGGGCGTGGAGATTCGCGCAGACACTCGAATGCAGTGAATTGAAAATATTTTTTTTTATTCGAGATGTTATTCTAGACTTTTACAGCACACTAGCCAAGTCGATTAATGTATATAATGCTTCCAGTGTAGTATGTTTGTAATGTTTAAACATGTAATCATAAACAAATCAACAACTGGTATGCAATCGAAACGTCGTACTCTGTTATTTAATTTATTTTCTTTCTACGTGACTTTACCGAAACAACCAAAGAGTAATTCCTGCAGTCACGAAAGCTTCAAATCAAGTTTGGTATGTCTCTTACCTTTAAAGAAATGGTGAAAACTATAAAACACATTGATATACAAGTATACCAAAACCTGTTATCTGTGGTATAATAAATATCCATATATGTTGGAATTAAGTACAGTTCTCATATGCCAGAATATACTTTTTTTTCAAATTATAAAAATCACCTTTGCAAGATCACCTTTGTAACAGAGTTGTTGCTCAATTGCACTTGCGTGTTTGTGCCACGTATACATTACCTTCTGTGGAGTTGTAAAAATCCTGGAGCTCTCCCGGACGATGGTGAGTCTGCTCATACTCGTACGCCTGGAAGATCATCTCAAATCGATCCAGGTCCTTCACGAGCTTGGCCTCCGCAGACCTCTGGTATTCGTACTCCTTTGAGTAAAACAAAAAAATGCAGAAGTAAAAGGATGTGATTTGACAGCGATTCACTCGCAAACCCAAGTGCAGATTTAAACCTTGCTTTTAAGATTCCCCAGAGCAAGTAGCTTCGCTGTGGAGTGAGTATTGTGTGGACATGTTACCTCGTGTATGAAAGCAATTCAATCATCGCCAAAGGTATCTATGGTACATACCTCCCACAAGCTATAAAGTTCCTTTCCAATTTCTTCATCTACCAAGGTTGAAATGTGTTTCATGGCATCCTACAAATGGTAAAAAAAAAAATTACATTGCAGTTTCAAGGTGCAGTGTCATTTCAAATGTTAACTCTTTTCAACATCTGTGCAGTACCTTCAAATGTACGAGTCTGTTTAAATACTTAACAAAGTGTACACTGAGGAATTATTTTAAACTGACACAAATAAAAACATATCTAAATGCCATCAGACTAGAACCCAAGGGTCAAATGATTGCTATAAAATTTGAAAATATTGGAAAAATTAAGGGCCAGACACCAAAACCTTCAATGTTACTTTGTGAGCATTAGTTATGTGTACTCTGTTCCAGTTCATCAAACAATCATAGTGTAACAAAATAAGCAGATACCTCTTCTCTGCGATGCTTTTCCTCCTTGCTGACGTTATCAGCTGGTGCAATGTCCCCCACAATCGACTCTGCCATGTCATGCACCAGAGCCAGCTTCATGCATCTACACAATAACTGTCATTATCACACGGGCCATCCCCACATTTCCTGGGATTCATTTCTACTAAGAAATGAAAAACCATCCCAGCTTTAAAGGAATGTTTACATTTCTCTGCAGCTGTTCTGGACGGATAAAAGACATTTAACAATGTTTTTACTGGAAGATGCATTTTGTCGTGAAATGCTGTGAATGGAAAGGGCTGGTGCCAGGTTTTACATAATAGTTGACAAGAAAATATTAAATAACTTCTACATGAATGGAATAAAATGTGTCTCAATGTCAGTACTTCGTTTTTGCTAAACGCTGCTATAAGGCTTTACGTAAACAACGCGATTCTACGTAAAAGTTCACTGTCCAAAGTTGTTTGTTTTTCACATGTGCAAAACTATGAGGAAAGTGCACTTATCTACATGCCAATAACTGTTAAACGACAAGTTCACAATCCAATGCAACACACTTACTTGTCTTTGTTAAGACACTCATCCCGAATGAGGAAAGCCAAAATGGCCATCCTGTACATGTGGTCAGCCACACTTTCTGGGTCTGGCACCCTTCTGTAGATCCATCCAGTCCGTTTGACGTTCTGAAATAGAGGTCAAGATATCAGCTTTAGTCAAGCTCAAACAATATGCGAGATGTCCGCATCGGAGTTATGGTTTGCCCTGCGTGCAAGAGTCCCGTCATAGTGTAGATGTAAACATGCTGAATTTAAAGTGCAGAGTTCCGAGCTACAATTCCCGCCAAAAGTTGCTTGAAACATTAGCCAAGTTTCTTTAATCCGCTGTATCAGCACGTGCCCATGCAGACACGTGATATAATTGCACTCAGGTCAGTGGCTTTTAACTTCTAGTGCAGTAAAATGTCGGGACGCCCACTTGACTGCCACCAAGACAGGGGAGACATCTTTAAAATAAGGTGGAGGGAGTGAAAACGGCGTGGAGGGCACATACATATTTTACACCACTCCATTCACTCTGGTGTACTGTAGTTTCCAAGTAATATTCAAACTCTGAATAATTTCTATCATGCGGATACATGTTATATAAATAACAAACCCAAATGGAATAAAGATCAAGTCGCAAATTGAGGCGAGGGAATGCTTAAGGGTAGAGACAACCCATGCACTGCAGAAACCGGTTAAAGTATTTGTGCATGATAACAGTCCCAGGAGAACGCTGCGTGGCACAATTCTATGCCATCTCCAGATGCCAGAGGCCATTATAAAAAATGCAAAGAAGATGTCAACACAGATACATCAAACGCTTTCAGCTAAAACTACAGTAGGACATCAGCTATCAAGGTTAATTTTAATGGCATGTAATAACTTATATTCTTGGTTTTTTTTGGGAAAGTCACGTAAATAGAAAACAAAATAAAAAATATTAAAATAAAAATCATAATAGAAGACCACTTGTGTTGCGATCGAAACGTCTTGGATTTTTTGCCTTTATTTTAAATTAATGTTTATTTATTTTTTATTTAGTTTACTATTTAGATATACTTTTTGTAGGTTTTTTGCTTTTATTATTTTCAAACATTTTTTTCTATTTACGTGACTTTACCGAAAGAATCAAGAATATGAATTCCTGCAGTCACAAAAGTAATAAGTGAAAATGTAATAACTTGGAAAACAGATATTGAATCGTGTTCAATGGTATTCTAGCAAATGTTCAATTCAGCCAAAATGCTTCCAAATTTCAAATTCAAGGCTTTGTATGCATACAAAACATCATTACACGAAACAAATGCCATTTATTTTGCCCATACATAACTGAAAAGTAAAATCACTCCTCCCCCTAGAATAATTAACCAACAATGATTTACAAGAGGTATCAACCAAATACTCTAAAACGCATGTTCCTAAAAAACTGGAGGACCCAGAGAAGAATCCACATGACCACAGGGAGAACATGCAAACTCCAAAAATACAGGCGTCAGGGTTGGGATCGAACCCACGACCTCCTGTATACCAGGTGAGGCAATTAACATCGCCACCGTAGTGCCCCGAAATTATAAATGATTGATGCGGGCCATTGGAGAGGAGCTGGGGGGGTAGCCACGTCAGTGACATAATGATCGTTAGTAAAAGTGGGCCTAGGCAGGCGATGCTGCGAGAAGGGATGATGAAGGGTGGTCAAGACTAACAATTGAGCAGCAGCTTAAGGAGGGAAAATGCCCCGGAATATATCTATCTACTGCAGAGACGGAGCCATGATATCATCTCTTGTGCAGGACCAAGATGGATGTTGCATCGCAAGACCATGAAATATGTCAACAGCTTGTGGAGGGTTCTTCCCGCAGTAGAGAGATCTGAGCTGATGATTGTGACTAAAATATACCTCAGGTGGTGTCATTTGAAAGTTCTTGCTTTGGCCCACATGTTGCATTCCCAATTATAAGCAGGAAATGTGACTTGGCAATTAAAAGCAGGAAACTTGCTTTGTCCATTTTATCCAAATTTCTCTCAGTCATCGGTCTATTGGATTTTTAGACAACTAATATCTGGCAGCATTTGGCTAACAAAGCAATCCCTGGACCGGTTTTGACTTCCTGGGTCTCATCAGTAAAGTCGAGCTTGTTAATATGCTGCTGGGTTACCAGATGTTATTGGCATGTTGAAAGCAAAAAGTTATTTTATGTACAAACTCATTAACCGTTGCTGTGGAGCGTTAAGGATATGTGTAAGCCGCACAGGAACACCTGCCACGAGGGGGGCTCCGTCTAATGGTTGAAATGAGAGATGACAAGGCACTTTGAGATGCGGAGGAAATCAAACGCACTATAAATGCAAAATATTGATTACTTAAAAGTTGTGGATGATTCTACCCACGCATCTCATCATTACTGCACTGTGTTCAACCACCCCACTGCAGGTCACAATATTCTGCTTCTGCACTCTCACTTCTAGATTCTTACATTTATTCACATTATTTATTTTGCCAAAAACTCCTAAATGAGACCTTGCTCAATTCGTAATCACTCGCATCCATCTTAACTGTTGACAGTGCCGTGTGTTGCTGGCCGTTCGACGTTTCGGGCCTCTGAGCTTGTGCCCAGCAACTGTTTAATGGTTCACAGCAACTCGTTACCTGTCATGCCATTAAACTAACGCAAAGGAAACGGGAAGATGCAATTATAAATAATGTATAATTAATTATAATTGGAGCCAATCGCATGCAGGATTGAAGGTCACGATTCTTGTATTTCGATTCACGAATCGATTCCCGTTATCTCAATGCGGTTTTGGTGGAGCCTTTTAACCGGCAGAGGCGCTGCGGTTAAACCCCGCGAACCTGCAAATATTACACAAACTCATCGCGTTTCAATGAACCACCTACAGCACCCTGCATGTGAACGGGGCCTGTACGCCCCGACTGGGATTCAACTCGATTCCTCTACCACCGATAATCGGTAACAGGAATCAAAGTACAAATCGTTACTTGCTTGCTTACCACAGCACAGTTACAAATGCAAAGAGCAATTAACACAACCGCAATGTTTTTTTTACCGCCACGCCCGTCAAACACACTGCCTTCAAATACAATGATCGGCGACGTTTCGGGCAACAGCCCTTGTTCGTTTCAAATGTGGAATTAAACTGAAACGCAGCTAGCCGGCGGTGACTAGGCCCGACTGTAGGGCCGTGGTTGCTTGGGGGGGTTAACGTTGGGGCGACGTCGGTACAGAAGCAGCAGACAACGTCCATCGTGAGGGGGTGGTGAGGAATGGCGCCGCCTCAACAACGCGAGACACACACGAACCTTCAGCTGCCCGACAACTTTGATGAACTCGAAGAGTTTCTGCATCCGCGTGGCTCCTGACGCCATCTCGAGCTGCGGCTGCGGCTGCTGCTGTTGTTGCGACACGAGAGACACGCTCGCGCCCCCGGCCGGCAGTACCAACGAGGCTGGTGCCACGCACGGACGCGAGGTTTTGTTTGTTTCTCACCCCGCCGAGTTTCGAGCGCAATGAATGGAGGGCGGTGGGATCTGCGTTAGCCGAGGCGGCCTGTCTCCTTACAGTAGTGACGTCATGTCGGTGAGCGACATGACGTCACTTCCGCGGAGATTTTACGTAACGTCCGCCGCGCCCCCCCCCACCCCCTCGCGCGCCCCCCCCCCACCCCCTCGCGCGCCCCCCCCCCCACCCCCTGGCGCGCCCCCCCCCCACCCCCTCGCGCGCCCCCCCCCCACCCCCTGGCGCGCCCCCCCCCACCCCCTCGCGCGCCCCCCCCCACCCCCTCGCGCGCCCCCCCCCCCACCCCCTCGCGCGCCCCCCCCCCACCCCCTCGCGCGCCCCCCCCCACCCCCTGGCGCGCCCCCCCCACCCCCTCGCGCGCCCCCCCCACCCCCTCGCGCGCCCCCCCCACCCCCTCGCGCGCCCCACCCCACGTGACGTCACCCCACAGATAACGGATACAGCGCTACGATGACGTCACGGCCGCGTGATCGAATGTGAAGAAAAACCCTGCCAGGTGACGTCATAGCGAGTTACAAATATATATTTTAAAATATTCATTTGACGATATAGAAGGCGTCTCATATTAATTGACCCTTCACTTTGAAGCTAATCGATGAATTGTCACTATTCAATTGTAAAATTTGTTTTATATACAAATATCTCTCAATTTAACACCGCCTCGTTACGTTGTCGACTCGTGAGGGCGATGACATCATAGCGACTATCAACAGCCAGATGATGTCATAACGACTGCAGCCTATTGTGGCAACGTCAAGCGACTGAATTGGGTGAATGACGCAGGCAGAACGAGTCATTCGCTTGCAACGATGACGTCATGTAAACAGCCGTCGATGTGCTCGCGCTGATGACGTCACACAAAATATACTACCTGTGCATGAGCTGCCAGTCAGTCAGTGGAGGCCCACTAGAACTGGCACCACACGTGCGTTTATACTCAGAACATTGTTGCTAACAGATGAATCCTCAGCTGGTGTTTCATATATATGCCTTTAGATTGCATGAAATGTGAAGCAAGCAGCACTGGACATTTCCCTGCATTTGCAAGTGGCACCAACAGATGGTGCCACTGGCCAAGTTGGGCCCGTGTTTAGAATACAGCTGCATGGTGTCAAGAGATTTTAATGTCCTTTACATTTCAAAACATTCATCAAATAACTAGTTCTTAGCTATATCCCCGCAATGCAGGACTCCAATAATAATCATACACAAGCAAAACTCAGTCTAGTGTTAACACTTCTAAATAATTAAAAAAGTGTTTTTAGTCTTATCAGCTGAGCTTTTTACTTTCCAGACAAATGTTATCGAGCATATTTTTTTTAAAGCAAGCAAACTCTGGAACGGTTTCAACCCTCTGGGTCTCATTAGCAGAGCCAGGCTTATTTAACAATACCCCTTATCTATAAATGCCTCGGCGAGTCTTGAGGCTTCTTAAGGAAGGGTTCTGCATTGGGAATTCCTACCTATCAACCCATGACATCAGTGCTTATCTTATTACAGACCAATTGAGACCTTATTGGTCACGCCGTGCCCTTATACATCTCAACGTTCATCCTACAAAGTCCCATCACAAGGGAGAAACATAAACAAATAGACAACAATTGGTTGCCCGCATTGCAATGGCTGTATGCCATATGGACCTGAAAACTCTATTTCCCTGTACAAGAATACGAGGTAAACCGTATGGGTTGACAGGTTTGGAAATTTGGCCAATTCCATTACAGTATTGAGGATGTGCCAAGAGTTGGGGACATCACGAAACATTTATGAAGCTCTCAAAGCAGCTGGGCCAAAACTCGAGGTGGTCAACAAGTGGCAGTTGCAGCAAGTGGGTTCATGAACTCGTTGTGTGGAACGTAGGGCCCCTCGTATGCTCGGGATTATATCTCTGTATGCCTCTACAGTTTCCTCCCACGCGAAGCCAAACACTCATAGAGGAAATTAGCCAAACATTCCAATGCAGAACCCTCCCAAAAATACTTGAGGCTCATTAAGGCTTTCTTGAGTAAACTAAAACAGTGCAGTGCAGTGCAATATTTTATATATAATATATATTTTTATATATATTATCAATAATCGAGAGCAATACCACACTGCATGTTATTTAAAAAAGGCTAACATTCGCAATTTTATGGGATAGTAGTAACTTACACTATAATAAATCAAATAACAAGCACATAAAGACGTTCATTCATAAAACAGAGCTGAATATCAGAAGTAATGTTGGTACCATACCTCATTAAGAATGCGTGTTGTGTCTTTCATACGAACAGTATTCTCGCAGTAATTGTTTTGAACAAGTACTGGTTTTACAAATCAGGTATTCATTCCTCTAAGTGCTGTTTATTCAAACACACATTTGAAAAATCAATAGGATGAATACAAATGATATGTTCTATCTCTTGTTCAATAAATCAATTTAGGGCACAGTGAATACGTTGTCTTGCTTAAGCACAATTGTATGCTTGCTCTTCCATATAGCATGAAGTTACATATTCTAAAACAGGGATCCCCAATCCCCGGGCCGCTGACCGCTACCGGTCCGTGACCTGTTAGGAACCGGGCCGCACAGCAGCAGGAGAGAGCGGTGAGTCCGCACGTGGCCCGCCCATTGTTTTATTGACCACTTCTCTTCCCCGCACTACGCACTCGTCTCAGTCACAGTTTTGGTAAGCCCACAAGCTGCTAACCCCTAGCCAAAATGAGTAAAAAACAAACGTCGCTGGAGAGCTTATTTGAAAAGAGGGAAAGACCCAATGATGAACCCCCCCCCCCCCCCGGTCCGTGAAAAAATTGTTTTCCACGAAACCGGTCCCTGGTGCCAAAAAGGTTGGGACACCGCTGTTCTAAAAGCATCCAACCTGCTTGCGTCCACCTCTTTATTTAATAGTTTAGAATTTTGATCGTCGCCAGGCGTAAAAAAAATACTTGGATGGGTTTTCCCAGTTGTGTCTCTAACAGATATATTCAACTGCTTAGAAAAAAACATGCTCATATTTTGAAATCTTGTTCATTAAATGAGTCTATCACTCATCCGTGTACATTACCTGCTATGACTCGTGAATCATAAACAAGGACGATGACAAAGAACATTTAACTAAAGCTGAAAAGTGTGCAAAGAAGCATGGAGAGGTGCACACTCGGAAGTGGACCACACGAATGCGAGAACATACGCAAGTTAGAGACAAGATATTGACTACATCATGGGACCTCCTTTGCCAGTACCAAAATATACTAATAGGGTTTTTCCCCTTTTTTTGGCAACCAAACTGACACCTTTTGCAAGGGATCAGGCTTACATTAACCACAATACTTGCAGTCAAATGCAAACAAAAAAAAACAATACTCTGATAAGACTGTGCGCCTTTTGGCGTCATCTGGTCGAACACCATATGAGACTAAGCTCTAAAGAAAGCTGTCTCTGGTGTGGACCAATCAGTTTCAAAGACAATGCACAAATTATCAGAGTATTGTTTTTTTGCATGTGACTGCAAGTATTGTGGTTAATGTAAGCATGATCGCTTGCAAAAGGTGTCAGTTTTGTTGCCAAAAAAGGGGAAACCCCTATTAGTATTAAGATATTGACTGTTAGTCGGTATAGACTAAATGAGGAAACGTGCTTGAGAGAAAGTCCACTGCAGAGACGATTGATAACATCAGCTTGTGTGTAGGTCCGAGATGGATTGTTGTCCCACCTAAAGCTCGATAGATGGCGATGATATGGGGAGGCTTTCATCAAGCAGTGGACAGATCATGGCTGATGATGATGATGATCAATATATTTTAAGTAACAAAAACCTGCACATGACACATTCCGTTCACAGCACACAAGGTTACTTACTCATGGTGCTAAAAGTGAGCCAATTCCGTAGGAAAAAATGGTTAGCCAGACAATCATAATAAATGTTGTACATTCCAAGGCTGACCTCCCCATGACAAAACCTTCTGAACACATTTAGATTAAATTATCTGAGCTATGTCTCCTACTTTTCAAGGTTAATGTGGCAATCGTGAATGGGCAGAGGATACATATCTGTACCTGTCAACCCTGTAGCATTACCTTATTTAAGGAGGGAGTATACATAGTCGTTCTAAGCAAACTTGAAATAAATTTCGAGTTAAGAATGGATAAAGGGAGCAGAGGAGCCTCCAGATTCAAAAAGGGGTAATTCAGTACGGCAACCCATGGCAACAAATGTAGTTTGTGACGACAATGTTAGCCCTGTTTAAATATTTACACACCAGTCTATTGTTTTAAGGGACGGTATAATGAACCATAAATAGGTGCACTGCGTAATATGGTGATGATTCACGACACTGCGATATGACAAGGCTCGCGAACATTCAAAGACGACAGCGATATATGCTGGAGTTAAATACCTTACTGATACAATATAGTGCAATTCTGGTGGGTGTGGTCCTAACAACACCTTGACAACAGCATCATAATAGTTGCCCTCGGGATCTTATGAGTGGGAATTCTCCAGTGATGTAAAGTGATGCGTAACAGGTATTTTACGTGCATGTTTAATCTATGCGTAGTCAACACAATAGTATTATGCAGGAGTTAACTCCACTTATCCACGGTGATGTGGGACAGAAATATCGCACATCGGATTATCCGCAGGGTTATCTAAAAAAAAATGTATTCTTACGAATTTGCCAATGGACTCCTCTTCTCCGAGAAAAATGTGCGGTTAATGGAAAGCTGGTCCACAAACCTCGGTGGGATATACCAAACACAACTATGACGAAACACCCAATGAAGCAAATAGTAAAGTCAGGAATTAGCAGGAGTGTGTAGTTGTTTTCCAATAAGATAAGTAGGCAGGTGGATTATTGGAAGGTTTAAAACTGTAATGGTCATCAAAAAATACATTACATCCAAGGTGAGAAGATGTGACCTTTTTTTGAGTAACAAAATCTGCTATTTTTGAGAAAATCCCAAAACTCATTTGGTCTGCGGTAAAAACTCGTAACACTCGAGCACGTTACCTGTTGAGTATGTTTGTGGCAATTTGTAGTGTCCGTATTTAATTAAAGCAACGTGAGCAGTGGCATACACGTGTGCAAACAGCTGATAACTGCGTTGCCCCTGCCTTCCATTCTTTACCTTCAGTATTGTGGCATTGTCCAGTGTTTGCTTGTGTATGGATAGCGCACCGTGCTATTTGCTACGATATCTGAATCTGTCTTGAGACTCTACTCAAGGTCAACGCAGCCTGAAATGAAGCACCTGCTGCTGTATCAACATAAACACTGACGACCCCTGGGGTACGACGCTGGCTGATTTTATTGATTTACAGCCAATTGCCAATCCGATGCTGGATTAAGGTCACGGCTTCACCACATTGGCCAGTGTGGCTTAGGAAAGGGGGAGAGAGGGCTGGTGGTAGAGACACTCGGGCGAGTTCAGATCTCAATCACCACTGAGAGTTCCATGGACTTGTGTCGAATTCAAAATTGCTGGGTTCACAACACAGTGTTAGAATGACTGTGCCACTGCTGAACCTGCGGTACTGACTGCTCTGGCCATACAGGGCACGTGCTTGATAACAATACGGTAAATTTTGATTTAAAGCGTTCGTGACTGCAGGGATTCATATTCTTGGTTCTTTCGGTAAAGTCACGTAGAAGGGAAATAATAAAATAATATTAATATAAAACAATACAAATTCTCACGACGTTTCACACCTGATGATGATTGCTTGTGTTGCAGTCGAAACGTCGTGAGAATTTGTATTGTTTCATATTAATATTATTTTATTATTTCCCTTCTACGTGACTTTACCGAAAGAACCAAGAATAACAATACGGTAGCCTGCTGGTTTAGACATTATACTGCTGCTACCTTTGTTTGGCTTTTACACTTTGGGTTTCACACTTGCACAGAGGTGTTCGCCTACGACGCAGCCTTTGGTGTGCTATTGCCATAACAGAGCCATCACCAATCAACGTCATACGCGAAGCGTGACATTCTATATTTCCCCTCCGCCCATATTCAATGCGACGGGATCCCCGGAGCCACAGTCAAAATGCTCAGAATTATCTTAGAAAACATTAACCTTGGCGCACGCCAGCTGCGTTTCGTTGCACCAAGCCACAAAGTCCTTGCTCGCTAGCATGCAGGTAACAAAGGGCCAACTTTACTCACTCGCGTCTGGGAGTGGAGTGACGCACGCGCAGCGGGCGTGGAAAGGGGGCAGCTCTGCTGATGTTGGGAGGTGGAGCTCGCTCTGCTCCTAATTCGGGTCGCCAATAAAAAGCCTCAAGCTGCGGTCTCTTGCTCGCATCCGCCCTTCCGATCTCCCCTCTGCGCTTCACTCACTTCGCTCGTACTGTTGCTGTCATCCTTTTTGGCATTTGCAGTCTGGAGAGAAAATAAAGGGCGGCTCGTCATCTCTCGACATTGGCCCGGTGTTAGGCGAGATTTTTTTGTTGCTGTTCTTATTTTACTTATTGGTAGGCTTTTAGTTATTTTTTTTTTTGCTCACATTTGTCCGACCACTTTTGGAGTTGTCTCAAAATGTCCAACGGGGTTGATGCCAACGAGCCGTCCATCGAGCTGTTTGTGAAGGTAAGGTCGACTTGTGAACGTGCATTTTTCTTACCGAGTGACGACAACGTTTTGAAAATATCGCTAGCACCTGTGAATGTAAACAGACTCATGTCCATTTGCTTCATGTGTACGAAGGTGCTTTCAATACGAGTATACGAGAGTGACTGGTCAATTCCGTTTAGAACCTTATTCTGACACTATTGGAACACCTCTATAAGGTGGTATGATAAAAAAAAAGTTTATTTGACCAAAACTCTTAATTAACCCCAAAAAAGTGTGTGTTATGTATGAATAAATAATACTTGTGCTATGTCTGAAAATACTGTTTTGTTATTTATTATTAACATGAATGTAATATTTTATGATGTGTTGGCCTATGATATGTTGGTTGCTGTCAATATGCAACAAGCAAATAATTCCTGCTTTGCAATACTTTTGTTAATACTCGTTAGGCAGGTAAAATGTAAATATAGACATTACTTCATCTGTTTGGCCATGAACATATTTTTTATTTACTTATGATAAAATGCACATACAGCATTTTAATCATCTTAACCACCACATCTTAACAGGGCATCATCAAATGTGTGTATTAAAACGCTTTCGGGTGTCTGCAATTCCGATATATAAAATACCCTAACGTGAAACAGAGTTTCATTATTCGGAATTTAAGTGACAGTGAATAGACGTATACTGTATATATGGATAAAGTTCATTATTTAGAGACGATAATGACAAACAAAAAATGCATGGCCAGCAAAGACAATTTCAGTGGACGCGGCTCACATTCCTCAGCTGGACGTGAACATTGGGCTGGGTCAAAATGTTTCGTTCAGGTGTGGCACGAGCAATAAATAAGTAAATAAATGTGGCCTTAACTCGTGTGCACGACAATGCCCTGGGTGCGAGACACACCTGTAACGATTACGCCACTCTAAATAGCATTAGGGATGTTTGGTGCCTTGACAAGCCAAGTGCGTGCGTAAATTGATAATTGAAGGAAATCGTTCGTGTCTCGAGACACCCACGTGAATGTTTGAGTGAGGAAACGTCTTAATAAAGTAGCCGCGCATTACAGAAGTGCTGTACACAATTGTTGCCATAATCATCAGCGCATTTTTTTGTTCAATTGATTGAAACGTGTTATAGTATTAGGTGTCCCAATTTGTGCGCGCGTGTGTTTTATTTGGTATATCGTAAGAAACGGGTGGATATTTCGCAGTGAAATACCGTAATCGTGTAAAGGATGTTCAGACAGCAAGCTGCAGCAATGAATAAACTTCATCAGAAGTAAATAAAGCTGTAAGAGGGGCCTATTGTGCCTCGAGAAAGAAGTCAAGTGGCTTGGACATGCATAACACATGAGGTCATGCCTGCTGACAAGTGTAGCGACTTTTTTTTAAACTTGGTGGTAATTCAGTACCACATTTACTTTGCAGGCTTGTTTTACAATGTGAGGGTTCCTGTGTGAGTTGTTTTTTTCTGCGCACCATCTATATATATAGGGTGCTTAGAACATTTTTTTTAACACTTATTAGCGGATTATCGTTTTTAATGGGAACATGATAACAAATGTAATGTTTCGATTTAAAGCTTTCGTGACTGCAGGGATTCATCTTCTTGGTTCTTTCGGTAAAGTCACGTAGAATGGAAATAATAAAATAAAAAAAATAAACATAATAAAATTATTCTCACGACGTTTCGGCAGGTCTGTCAGACCTGTTCTTCACCTGAGGACGGCTGCTTGCGTTGTGGCCGAAACGTCGTGAGATTTGTATTTTATTATGTTTTATTGTTATTATTTTATTATTTTCCTTCTACGTGACTTTATCGAAAGAACCAAGAAAATGTAATGTTAATAGCCTTTAAAAGTCAAAGAGTCTCCACTTGTTCACCATCATTGTCAACACACGCCTCGAATCTTCTCCAGGTGGTCTCCAGAGCCTGGAGGAACATTTCTTGTGGTGTGGTTGTAAATTCTCATAAGCGTTAACACATTTTCGAAGCACCCTGTATATGCTGGCCACAGTTTGTGCAGTGTAATTTAACAACAGTACTGTAGGCTACGATACCGTTCTGAAATAAGCACTATGAAATCGATATTATCCTCGCTACTTTAATTACCGTATCATATGAATGCAGTGTAAGAGGCAGAATGCTGCAATGGTGTTAATGATAGTTAGCGCCACTGGACTTCGGGAGGATGTTGCCATTTCAATCTTCTGGTGTTGGCAGTTAAAATGAATCGGCAAAGGGTGATGATGATTCTTCACTGCAACCAACGCCTCCGTCACATCACGGTCGACTGGCAGGTCGCCTGTGGTGGAGTCAAGTGTGGGTACCCTCCACCTCTTTCAAGATCTTCTTGGTTCTTTCGGTAAAGTCACGTAGAAGGGAAATAATAAAATAATAAAAATTCAACATAATAAAATACAATTCTCACGACGTTTCGGCCACAACGCAAGCAGCCGTCCTCAGATGTCTGGCCATCGTGGAACAGAATAGTGTTGAGATATTCACTTGTAAAAAATATAAATATGTCTATACTGTATATATCTATAAATTCAAGTGCAAATGAAAACAAGACACTCGTTGAGAATGTCACCATAAATACACGCGCGCTGTGTGGCAAAGGGCTGTTTATAAATGAGGTGTATGCGATGCAAATATTTTCTTCCAATGGTTACACCACTAATGCCTACCCACTCAAACATTTCCAGAGCCTTCTAAAACAAAGAGCACTCACTGTGTGAAGTGGATGAGACAGAACTTGGTTCGGTGCAACAGACAGACAGCGAGAAAGTCGTGTTGTAACCTGCTCAGATTCCAGTAAATAGTACCTCAATACATTTTGTTCTGTAAGAATTAAAGGAGAGGTTATAGGTTGCAATGTGTTTGTTATCACAAAAACAACATTGTGGACAAAAGCTACGCGTTTGCCAATGTTTTGCCAATGTTACATTTCAGTAATTACATCATTGAAATGGCGCTTTAATTTATGTTTGTAATCAGGACAGCGAGGTCACATATTCCAATGCATACATACAATGTAATCCTTATCAATATTTGTGTACAGTCCTTGTAAATACTATGCCAAACTGAGTCTCATCACTGTCTTTTATGGGAGGATTCTGCGTCGGAAAGACTGGGTAATTTCAAAAGGAGTGTTTTGCACATTTTCTTACGAATTTATTTAAACTTGCATTCAACCATTTACATCCCACGTTCAAAAAACCACGTAACAATCATGGGAAGTATGTCAGTACTTTGAGTACAAGGTGTAAACTTTGAATAATTATTGCACGGCCGATGACATAGCCCTGCTACACTTTGGTATAAACACCAAAGTTTTTTTAAAATGTGTAAACTTCCCTTTAAGAGCCTGCAAACTTCATATAGCTGCGTGGTGTTACAGAAGTGGAACAACGCTGAGTCGTAAAATGTGGTCAAGGTTCAAACGTGGCGTTGGTGTGGGTTACATAAAGGTTATTAAAGTGACACACCATCATCAAAAGAAAGGACATCGCCGCTAAAACTGATATTCGGATGTGAACGGTGTGTTCACTTCCTATTCAAAGGCAAATACTGGGGTCTTTTGACCCACATATAGTAAAACAAACAGTTTATAAATATACAAATGTTGTGCCCTTAGGACCCCAGGCACCAGATCATAATACACAAAGAAGAGGCATCACAATAAACATCACGTATTTCGCAGTAATCGCCATCAGCATGATTGCACAGAGGCTCAAACACCCCGCAAATATCGCATATTTCTTTCTATACTCTCCCTAAGGCCATCCTTTCCCTACCCTGGACATAAAAGACTGCAGCAGCTGCAGAATGAGGATTTATTGATAATTTCACAGGAACCGTTTACTGTAGTTTTCTACCAAGATAAACGTTGACCACTGGGCATGGCCATTAACCTTGAAAACTCAGCAGGGAGCCAGTGGCTGGGACTGCTGCACACAGGGTGGTCCAGCTGTCTTGTAACCCCCAATTAATTGATCTTCCAACAATTTGTTTTCCTTTGCATGTTAATTTCTGTCGTAAATAAACCGTTAGCAACATTAAGTTTTAGAGAATTAAACGCGGGTCACAAGACATCTGTCGAGGACCAGGCTTAACTTCTACTTAAAATAATCATTATGGTGATATGAGATGTTGCTCAAATTGCTCACCAATAGAAGGCCAACTGAAAAATAAGTGTGCACTAAAGTGCCCGTGTACACAAAGAGTGGTTCACAATCACTTTGGAAATATAATAATACTGCAGAACTCCTCTTGTTCACGGTGATGTGGGATACAATCATCGCGGGTGTACTGCACTTACCTGCGAGGAGAAAAAAACACAATGGTGGCTAATCGTGGATAATGGGAAGAAAAGGGCTACAGATAATGGGTTTTGTGGACCCTGCAGCTTCCACAGATAATTTGGAGTCGTTGGGGTCACAGATAACACCTCCGATTCACACGGTTGGCTACGTACGGTGCGAAAGAAGTTCACCAACTATATGAACAACATGACACTTGGCATATTCTTGGGTCTTTCGGTAAAGTCACGTAAAAATGTTCAAAGAAAATAATACAAAAAATAATAGAAAACTACGACCGCTTGCATTGCGATCGAAACGTCGTAGTTTTCTGCTATTTTTGATTATTTTCTTTCAACCTATCTACGTGACTTTACCAAAAGACCCAAGAATATGAATTGCTGCAGTCACGAAAGCTTTAAGTCAAGATTCATGACACTTGGCAGTTGACACCAAATTAATGGCGTGGTATCTGTACCGCCTGCGAAATATGTTGTAGTCTCTTCTATTGAAACAAAAACTTCAGCGAGATGCGTGCGTCTGTTTGTCGGCCACACTCGCTGTGTGAAGCCAGGAGACAAGTCATGCTACTAAAATGAGCTGTGACCGCAAGCAAAGCAATATGAGCCGGCGGCACTGCGATATGAATTCACCATCGCACAGTGCGCCAACTGAAAGCCTATACAATCCGGAGCCTCGTGAATCCCAATGCAATCATTAGCCATTCGTGTCTTTGAAAGTCTGAAAATATAAAAATCCAATGCTCATCCCTAGTATAGGCTGTACATAGCTTACTTTGACTTTCGGACAACAAATGTCGTTTGTTAGATATCTTTGAAAGCTTTATTCTGGGGGGCGGGGGCACATGAACAGGCATGTAAATTTAAATTCAGTGTCATGACTATATCGAAAACGACTTTACAGTTACATGAAGCTCAAAATCAGATGGGATGAGGGTTGTGCCATTTGGCAGACGACTCAAATTATTTTACAATGCAACCAACTTATTTCCCACCCCCTGCTTCAATGTTGTTTTAGCCCGGTCGAGATACTACACTATATACATGATGCATGAACATTGACGAAGACGCTCACGGCAGTTGCTAAATAAGCTCGTCGACCAAGAGCCCATCATTGGGTCCCCCATGTAAGGACGCGGCGGTTGTGGGGAGGGGAATAAGAGGCAAGTGTCTGGAGAAAAGGGCCCCAATTCCACAAAGGGGCAAGATTGAACTTTCTTTGAGGAGTCCGGGCCAGGTTCCCCACCCGACTTCATCCCAACCCATGTCACCTTTCTTAACCACCCTGGGTAGGATGGGGGCTGACGACAACAGAAACACGGCCTCAAGCCCCAAAGACAGAGCAGTCGCAGAGCAAACTCACAATTATTTAAAGCAACATTTAGTTGTTGTTATTGTTGTTACCCAGGGATAAATGAACAAGGTACAAAAAAGTGTGGCAGGAAAAAAGCACACACACGCGCGCGCTTTTGTGTTGTTGTTTGAAACTCATGGCTTCTCTGGCCTGCATTATTTTTCTGTTTTTATGGGGGGGATAGGGAGAGTTTCTCATTTCTCATCATATATAAATTTGAATACATGCGTTTTGAAAAAAAGTTTTTGGAACGGTCATTACCACCCTTTGTGAAGTATCTGTGGGTAGTCCAAATTTGCCGTGTTACTTATTAATGTTCTCTGTACATGGGCAACATATAGGTATTATTTTTTACACCGTTGCTGAGCAAAGGCCTCCATGTTCAAAACAAGTGACAAATAAGTGGCCAACAAACAAACGCATCATATTGACCGATAAATAATACAGACGTGGTAGTAGGTTTTTACCCTTTTAAACTGGTACAAAACTGACACCTTTATTCTAAAGGTGTCAGTTTTGACATTATAAAGGTGTCAGTTTTGTACCAGTTTAAAAGGGTAAAAACCTACTACTATATTTTGCCATTGGTAAAAGAAATCTCATAGAATACAGACGTGGGTTTGGGCGCGACGCTTGGCGAGGAGAGAAGATAGGCAGGTGGTCGACGTTCACGAAGACGCGACAGCCGAAGCAGGCTCAAACACCTGATGGTTTGTCCGCTAGAGAGAATTAAGCGATGAAATCAGAACCGGCCCTAGACCTTTGGGGGCCCTAAGCAAAATTTGGTTGGAGGCCCCTTTGATGTATGATTTTTTTCACCCACTCGCTAGCAGTGACTCTAGGGGGCCCTCTGCTGGCCACGGGGCCCTTTGCAATTGCAAGGGTCGCTTAGTGGCTGGGCCGGCTCTGGATGAAATCAACTAGATGGGTCATCACAATGCAGGACCACGAGCGATGGCGACGGCTTGGGAAGGCCTTCATCCAGCAGTGGATTTATCATGGCTGACGACGATAACCAATGATGATTGACGATGATGTAAAAATGATAATGTCCTTTTTTTTGCAAGCTGTCATCGTCCCCTCCGTGTGGTGGTTGTGGGTAGTCATAATTCGTTGTGCGTGTGTATTTGTGCTGCATTCAATGCCGAATTAAGTTAGTGCGGGGCCTGTAGCTTATGTTATAAAGGGTCGCCGCTTATGTTATAAAATAAATAAATAAACCACATAAATATTAAAACGCAAATTTTTACTTGCGTAGTAAAGTAATTGTATTTTTTCATTTGCTATACGGCCAGATAATACGACAAATCGTTAACCTTAAACACCAAGTCGTTCATAAAAGTTGAAGGCAGTGTAGTACTATAGTAATAGAGCAAGTGCAGATTCACTAAACCGGAATTGATAGCGCGGGCCCTTGAAAGTGCGGGGCCCATAGCATATGTAGCTACTTTTGCTACCAAGATAATCCGGCACTGGCTGCATTGCTGAATTGTTCTTTGTATTCCAGACGAGTGCGTGTGTTGCAATACATTCGAATGCCTTCTGGTGTTTTCCAGGCTGGAAGTGATGGAGAGACAATTGGAAACTGTCCCCTGTGCCAGAGGATCTTCATGGTGCTCTGGCTCAAGGGGGTTACCTTCAACGTCACCACGGTCGACATGACAAAGTAAATGCTCGCACCACCCACCACTGCAAACCGCGCACATGCGCTGCACATTCGCCCGTAAGTTAATTACATTGAGTTGGCGTTGGCTGGGGGAGGGTATTTTTACTTACGTTCAGTCAAGCAAAACATATGCAAACGTTATTTTGAAAACATTAACTATTACTTCACTGTGAGTCATGTTGACCGATGTGACATCAGAATAGAAAGCGGGCCTCGACTACATTCCATAAAAATACAAAGATAAAGATCCCCCGTATAGCCATAATAGACTTTTGGAGCAAGTGTTGTTAGTGAGCACCTATAAAGGCTGGTACGGCACACAAGGGGGTGGGTGGCCAACACCACGCCCGGTCGCCTTTGCCTCCCCAGTGGCGATGTTTTTACACATCGCACCAGGTACTCATTTGCAACCTAGGAGAGGCCCAGGACCAGTTCAGATAATTGTCACTGATGTTGGCCATGAACAGGAATCGAACTCGGCTCGTCGGGTTCATTGCACGGCGTGCTAAGCGCTCCACTCCCGTTCCCCGGTCCTGGACTACATGCCACAAACACGTTCACACACACACATCAAACTAAACACATCACTGCCCGTAACTATATGTGGTCTTTATCAAAATAAAGTATTTCGCTGATAAATTTGTAACGTACACAAATTTAATTTAAGAGGGACATTCAGAGGACGCGAAGGACACTCACACAATGAACTTCACCATCCGAAGCAATTTTCTTACGTTTGTATACCACTGCGTCCGCAGCATTTTAGTTACTTATCGGTAAAGACATCACGTCCGTTGGATGTCATCCCAGTTCAAGTTTTCGACGGACCATTTCCTTCCCGCTTTTCAAAGGAAAGTTTTCGACTTCATTTTTTTTCTCTCTCTCCCCGCTGAAAATTCCGGAAAGCCCATCCCATTAAAGCGCTGCAAAAAGGAAAACGATTCGCGTGTATATATATTTTTTTCTAGAGTAAATGTTCCCTTTCTGATGTGCGGCCTTTTTAAGTGCCTCTTAGCATCTGCTTCTGAGTGGACTGCATATCCGCCCCTCTTATTTGCTGTAGGATGCTTTGGTTTGTTAGACAAGGTCCTGTTTGTAAACTGCTAATGTTTTCTGCTGAATTTGTGAAGCGGATTTTGTAAAAATGTAGAACTTGTCTTTTAGCTGCCCTGTTTTATATTTCGTTATATATACACGCTTAGAAAATATAGTCATATACTAAATACATTATATGCAGTATTAACCATGAGGTGTTTGACACTTTGCCTCCCGTAAGAGTCACTGAGCATGGTTTTATACCTCAGGTTAAATAATGTGAGGTGATACACCTGATCTGTAAAATACTGCAGTATTTTTAGCATGACATAAAATATCTCATGCAGAAAAAATGCCATGAAATTTGAAGCCACAGTATATAACATTTATTGCAAGATAAAATATAGGTTATATTCTACATGTGTTTGTTTGTCCAGGTGTGAATCATAGGGTGTCACATTTATTTTTAACGCAGTAAATAAACTAAAACATTTGCTTCCGGTACAATTCTGTAAATACAATGTTTAGTTTACCAGTTTACTGTATTTGCAACCCAAACGTGTCTCAACAGGCTAACATTGATCAGTTTTGGGGATGTTTTCCCAATTCCACGTTTTCCTTAGTATTTGCTTGCGGGAGTGGAGCGGTGGCGCTGCGGTTAGCACGCTGTGCTTTGAACAAGGCAAACCAGAGTTCGATTCCCAGCCATGGCAAACATCAGTAGCAGCTTGAACCTAATACGGTCCTCGACTGCCCCCTCACCAAGACTGCACTGACCAACGCTGATGAAGTATTGTCAAACAAACCCCCTTGTCGAGCAATTAATGAAGGGTTGCTATTTTATTACTTATTAAAGCATATCATAATCTACTGGGCATGGTGTCATATACAGTTCTGCGATATGCAAACACAAAGAGTTAATTAAATATCATGCAGTACAGGGTCATGCGTAATTTCTTTGTGATGTTCATGTCTGGCCAATAGAAGATATGTCTCAACACAAAGTGTGGTCTGCCAACTGAAGGCTCAGCACTCTACTGACGTTCCAAGTTTATTAAGTGTTCGTGTTTTAGTAGTGAACGCAGCCACCAGCGCCCTGTGCTGTTGCATTCTTTGGGAACATTATCACAAGCTGTTTACTAACGGTCTTCCGTTTGTGTGCGTGCGTTGATTGCGTACCACTGGGATTTTGTCTTCGTGGCCATGAGATTTGGGGGCACACGACGAGGCTTTAACGAGCATCGCCCATCTCTACCGCCTTTCCCCGTAATTGCGACGTGTGCGTACAGTAGCAGCTTTTCACTCGAAGTGTCAAATCTAGCACCAGGCTGGACAAAAGTATGAAGAATGACAGGTCGTTAAAGACAGTGCTGCTCGCATGCCAGAGTCCTTCCCACTGCTAGTGTGTGTGTAAGCCACTGTGGCATCACCCACTGTTTCAACTGCATACCAACGCATTTCATTATTCGTAGCAGTTTTACTTTAAGGGAAAACCGATATAATTTCGGGAAGAGGGCTCGGTTTTTGTTTTTACGCAAGCTAGATAAGCAGTTGATATGCTTTTATAAGACGACGAAGCAAACTCTTTGCGCTTTACAAATCCATCCGCATCTAGTTTACACAACAAAGGCTTATTCCGAACAGCGCGCTTCAGCCGCACCGAACCTCACAAAATAATATTCAGGGCCTACCTTGGCTCTTCCCACCCTCAACCAGTATATATACAAGGACTGTTTTCTTTGAATGTATCTCACTTGATACAGCTTTCGTGCTGTGACGGTTCCACCTGAAGACGGAAGCTTGTGTTGCCTCCGAAACGTCGTGATTTTTATTTTATTTTTATTTTACTTTTATTAATTTAAATTTTTTACCTACGTGACTTTACCGAAAAAACCTAGGAATATATATCATTCCTGTTGACCGTGGACAGCGTTGCCACCCGTATATTATGAGTGCAAAGGTAAAAGTGATGTCCTGCTCAAGTAATCAAGGAGGAAGTGCTCATATCCTGTTTACAGCCCTGAGCCAGCAGTAGACATTCCACATCCCTGCGGCAGGAGTGATGCTCTCCATACGACAACCACTGCTGACTTCCTTAAAAGGTGGTACTCATTTTAATGATCTGTCGAAGGATGATGGGCTAAAGTCAACCCCCAACCAAGATTTGAACTCACGACCTTCCGCTGTGAGTCACTCGCTCTAAGGTTGAACCAGTTGGCTGGGTAGATGATTTTTACTACGCACAGCACGTATTGCACGTGGGTCTGCTCAGCACTATTTCGACTCTCTTTGACTCTGTGAATAGCCCCTTGTGTGATTTGACGCTTTTATACCCCCGAACACAAATCGGCCAGCATACGAGACTTTGAAGTGCATCACTTTAAACCATAGGTCGCAACCGGGTACCCGATACCCGTACCCTACCCGATACCCAGCTACCCGTACCCGGCCGGGTATGGGTACGGGTAGCCGTTTGCGACCCTGGTGCGGCCGGGTACGGGTAGGCCGTGAGTCACTGGTGAGTAGCCGTTTGTCACTCATTTCGGGTAGGGTACGGGTATGGGTAGGGAACGGCTACCCGTACCCGGCCGGGTACGGGTACGGGTACCCATTTGCGACCCTGGTGCGGCCGGGTATGGGTAAGGAATCAAAACCCGTTTGCGACCTCTGCTTTAAACGCATGTTTCTTGTCCATACTTTTTCTTGTCAAACTCAAAGGCAGCTACCCAAACTGCACACGCATACAATCGCACAGAACGCGGTCAACGATTGCAGTTGTACATTAAAAAATAAAACTGTTGGGAAGGTACGAACTTAAAGGCCGAGGTTTACGGTGGAACATGTGAGAATGAGTAATCACAGCCATGCCCCCGGCACAAGTCACGTCCACATGTGACCTCCCAGTAACGACAACAAGGGAACAAAAACAGGAACCACAACTGTTCCATCACCCTCATCATCCCCTCTCCTAACACGAGTTAGGGGAAATCCACGCATCTGTACATTTTCACACGCCCATGCTGATATGTCTTGACTTGTGGAATGGCAATGAGGACATTTCTTTTAAATATCCGCCCGACTGATAAATATCCTCCCAAATTCCTGGAATGGGATATATGAAAGTATATTGTTAAACGATATACTTTATTGTGTTCTCTGGTATATCTCTTCCGTGGGTTTGCATAATTTTGTCTTTTTTAAGTGGACAATGTAAAATGCACAGAATTCATCGGTCACTTATGAGAAACGTTATTTTCATTGTTTACATTTGTTCCCAGCTGTCCACGTTTGTTTTGCCAGTGCTAACCTGAAAGCATAAATGGTTAAACTACAAACAAAATGGACATGTGACCAGAGGCGTAGCTAGGGGGGGGGGGCAGGGGGGTACACGTGTCCCCAGGCGCCAAGGTAAAGGGGCGCCAAAATGAGGCTTATAACGTTACGTTTTAACTTATTGCGGCGGGCGCGGCAGCCTGAAACTACTGCACAAATCTACACCTCAACCTAAAAGTTTATACATCCCGCCACACACAGCCTACATGTCAAGTAATTACATTTTGGTATGTGATTAAACGGGGTGGGGGGGGGGTTGCCAATTTTATATCCTAGCTACGCCACTGCATGTGACTTGGAACCAGCTTGCAAAGAGCTGGCTTAATATTTGTTAAAAAAATAACCAGTAATGAGCAGGTTTGGCTTTAATGGCTTTAGTGTACATTTATTCTTCTTCCTCGTGTGGCGCATATGACATGAGGGCATATGACATGAGGACGTGTCACCACATTGCGCACACGTTTATGCATGATAGTCACAAATGCAGCAGTATAACCCGTGCCTCCTGTATTGGCATTCTATTAATAGATCTAACAACACACATATATAGCCTTAACAGACTGTAGAGCTAAATTATTTTAGCGAGCAGCACCTATTAAGGCTGCCACTGCATGCGGTTGGCCAGCACCACGCCCAGCTGCCTGGCTTTGTCTGCCCAGCACTGATGCTTAACCACCACACCAGGTACTCATTTAAAGCTGAGTCGACCTAGGGGAGACCCAGGATGGGGTCACAAACACCAGTAAGGCACAACTCTCATAATTCCTTGCATGCTTGTCATGTGACTGCCACATCGCACGTGCAGTACAATGCGCTCAACATTGAGTCAGTCAGTAGCTCAAGAGCTAAACGTTTGGTCGTTATCTTTCAGCCAACATCTCAAGAAGAGTTTAATTTGGTAATGTAACCATCTCAACAAGCAGTAGGGCAAACAAAGAGGCAACTGTGGGTTTTCTCATCGTTTACATAAAGTGCTTTATTTGAATCACCTAAAGCGTCCTAATGTGAGATGCACTGGGCCTCAGCTGCCTTGAGTATCACCGAAGTTGGAGCACCATGACATTTAATTTAAATGAAGGAAATATGTTCTAGTTATTAGGAATACAGTACTATATTGCATTAATTCTAGACACAGCATATTACGTGTACTCTAAATGACAATAAGAACGTGTAGCCCCTTATCAAGCCACTGCTGGATGAAGGCCTCCTCCCCAGGCCGTGTTGGCCATGGGGAATGTTTTCGCCATACTTCTCCATGCTGGTCAGTGTGGGTTGATGAAGGGGGCAGCCAAGGACTGTGCCAGATATCCCTGACCATCGATGTGCGTCGTGGCTGGGGACTGGCCTTGGTCTCCAGTTGCAGAGCGCAGTGTGCTAATCATTATGCCATCCTGCAACCTCCACTCTAAATAATGTATTGGTTCATTCCCTAAAAAATATTTCGATTTAAAGCTGTCGTGACTGCAGGGATTCATCTTCTTGGTTCTTTCGGTAAAGTCACGTAGAATGGAAATAATAAAATAATAATAAAACATAATCAAATAATTCTCACGACGTTTCGGCCACAACGCAAGCAGCCGTCCTCAGGTGGAGAGCAGGTCTGTCGAGTGGACAGAGTCTGAATGACACACGCCAGGCTTGGAGCGACTATTTAAGCTGGGATGGACAGACCTGCTCTCCACCTGAGGACGGCTGCTTGCGTTGTGGCCGAAACGTCGTGAGAAATATGTTTTAATTTTATTATTTTATTATTTCCATTCTTCGTGACTTTACCGAAAGAACCAAGATGAATCCCTAAAAAATTGTTAATATTTTCCCATTATTACCTGACTTTGGCATCAATAGCCTCCTCAATATATATGTAATGTCATAGGATATTCAATGTCAGTTTAGAAGCTTCATAGACTGGACAGCCTCAGCACTTTTGTGAACTTTGAAATGGAGTGCTTTTATCAATAGAGGTTGAAATCAGTGACCCCTAGCCCTTAACATGAACACACAAGCCGTGGTCCACCTAGCAACCTCAGTCATTAACAAGACTCAGATCACTGAACCAAACGTTTTGTTGTCTCTGCAGTTAATAATTATTAAAGAAAGATAGGTTTGCATTTGTTTATGAAGTTTTAGGATTCCTATTGTCATTACTTGATGATTGTGGATGGTCCCAGCCTGGTTACCAATGATGACCATGCAAAATAATAACATCAAATTAAATTTGGATCTTAATTTGGCTGATTTTGAACTCTGAGAATTAAACATATTGGTTTGACTGTCATAGGGCAGGTAAACAGCACTCTGATATGGCAGAGCTGGTGGGAATTTACTGCCCCCCCCCAATATCCACATCCCTGAGCCGCTCTATAGCACCACTGCTCTACAAGATATCCGAACGGACTCTTTATTTCATCACATAACGCAATTGGGATGAAATAGGGTCCAAGAGAAAACGACAATGAACATATAAACAAAACTGACACCTTTTTACAAGGAGTCATGTTTGTATAGACCGCAATACCTGCATATTTTTACTGGCAAATGAGGTTCCCATAGTTCTCCAGAGTATTCCATAAATTCCATGCACATTTCGTTTTTGCCCAAAACCTGTGCACCTGCAGGAAGCCAGCGATCCTACGCTCCCTGGCACCTGGATCCCAGCCTCCCTTCCTGACCTTCAACGGGGACGTCCGCACCGACTTCATCAAGATCGAGGAGTTCCTGGAGGAGACTCTCTGCCCCCCGAGGTGAGCATTCACACACGAGCTGATGATCCACTGCTAGATGAAGGCCTCCCCCCCCCCCTCCCGCACGCCGTCAGTGTGGGTTGGTGAAGGTGGGTAGCATAGATTTAAACTATTAAACAATTTTTTACCAGGTAACGCCCACTGAGCTATATAGCTCTTTTTTTAGATGTGCCCTGGCTACAAATGATAGTTCGACGACGTGGCTTATCACGTGGAAATTTATAGCAGCCAAATACTCTAAAGGCATGTTTCTAAATGTGGAGGGAAAAACCAGAGGATCCTGATAAAAGTCCACGCGACAATGGGAAGAATATGCAAACTCCAAATATACAGGCGTCAGGATCGAACGCATGACCTCCTGTATACCAGGCAAGATAGTTAACATCACACCGATGTTGAGAGCATAAAAGTACAATTACATTACCTTATGCTACCCACCATTTAGCCTCTTAGCATATGGATGGTCACCCATCCTAGCTTTGTCAAGGCTCAAACCTGCTTGGTTTCTCAGATTTCATGAGATTGGGCACGTTCTGCTTTTAGGCCAACTGATGAAGATATCCATTCACAACGATCGTATCTTGTAAGGCATTCAAAGTTTACCCTTATGTTTCCATTATTATTTACGAATTTTACGTAATATTATATGTATAATAGGTAAATATGGGACTAACACAAAGGCAGCGAAGTTTATTTCGCATCTTTTTCTGAAAGCCTTTGCCCAGCCCGATGTGTGGGTACAGCTCTGACTCGGTTTCTTTTTGAGCATTGCGGTGTCTTTTTTAGGCCCTAAATGCAAGATCATACATCGAAGTTGCGCAGCCACGCCAATTATGGACCTATTAAGACACGATGTGGCTCAGAATTTCATGTTGAAACAAAACCCTTTGCAAATATTCCAAAGTAATAAAAGGGCCCACCAAGAAAATAATTAATTCATCTTGTGTAGATGTCGCTGGCTGGTTCAGAGTCCAGAGCAATGAGCCAGAACCGCTGAGACACTGGGTTAAAATCTGGGCAGCCGCCCACGATTAAACTGGCTACTCACGTGCCGTGAGCTCATCGTCCTCAACCCAGTCACCAATTGGCAAAACAAATTTAGCCTTGCGGCATGTTTGGCTAGATTCCCAGCTCTTAAAATAAAAGTAAAATATTGGTATGACTCCCATGTGAAAGTCTCATTATAAAGAGCATGAGAAAATGCAACTATTACTGTGTAAAGGGTAACTAATCCACTTTATTAATTTCTTTGTGATAGGTCCAGTGCAAAATCTCTTTTGCAGGCCATTCTCTGACACGAGGCAAGCTTCTGTGTGCGTTTTCCAAATGGATTATTTTGTCTCATGATGTGATTCCGACACGGCAATCGGAATACATTGGAGGGAAAAAATACAATGACATTTTCTTTCATGTACATTTTGAATCTTCCCACTTAAAACATGTTACAAAAATTTTTCAAAAGTACTTATTCAAAAATGTAATTTCTGACTCAGCCATGCAGTTACTAATTAAAGTATACCCACTGTGTATTCAAGTCACCATACATGAACTTCCGCTTCTTGACGAACCAAGACTGCGGTTCTGTCAATATCTGCAGCCCACCAAACCATGTCCTAATGTCATCGTCACTTCCCGTTTCCTTTGTGTTCCTTTTGACTAAACACAGACCAGCTGTAATATCGGAAATGTGTTATTGTGATTCACCAAAATGGAAAATTTTTAGTGCAAGCCACACGTAAAAGGAAAACCACATTGCTTTGATTACTAAATAATGTGTTCAATGTTACTGTGTACTATAAACATATTTTATAGCATAACACATGATTTAGTTATGAACATGTACATCATTATCAGCACAAAGAATAACCCTAAGTCAAAAGCATCTGTCCAAATGAAAATGTGACAATGTGGAATCTGGGTGACACTGGAAAACGTGCATTTTCAATATCGCAGAATTCTGCAATCTGAAAAGGAATAGCTGACCGTATATTTCACAGTCAATTGATGCAGAAAATAGTAAGTCCACTGTGCTCAGAGTTTAAATATAAAGTATGAAAGTAACCCCCTACATTACTAACCATATCTTGGCAGTTTGGGTAGTTGGATTCCCAGCCATGGCCACTTACATCAGAGCGAGTCATATATTAACCGGTCTTGGGCTCTCACTCGCCGACCCACACTGTAACCAGCTTGGTGAAGTATGGCCAAATGAACCCACTGAGCGGCACAGCTTGGAGAGGTATACACATAGCAGTGGGACTGACAAAAATGTGTAACATCAAGAGTATAATTAAAAAGTATTGTTCAGAATGCTGCTGAGTGCTATGTGAATTTTGTATTACCCAGGCATGAATATTATGTATTCATGGTTAGCTCTGCACTGATACCTCCATTGTTGCCAGTCCACCACTGGATGAAGACCTCCCCAGACCGTGTGGATCGTGGGAGTTATTTGACAATACTTCACCACACTTGGATAACAACGTAGTCATTTTAAACTATCACTTTCACCACGCGTATATGTTCAGCATATTGAACTGAGCCCTCACGATTTCCTAGCATCATTCATGGTTAAGCAGTGTACACTTATATTTGCGTGACCTTTAATTTAATTGTAGGTGTTATTTTAGTGCACAAAATATCCAGCACAGTTTGATCGTAACATCAAAGTGAAGGTTCAATGGCTTTTGTTGCCATTGTTGCCAATGTTGCCAGTGAGAACAATCGTCTACAGCAACAGCAATAATTCAGTAGCTGTAACTGACAAGACTCGGGCCAAATTTAAATGTCACCTGTGAAACCACCCTTGAGATGGAGAATCTCATTTGCGATGTTGTCTATGGTGTAGACACGTAATAGTGCACGTATACAAACAGTTTAAACATGCAAACACGTATTACATAAACAAACATACATACGCGTGTCTACTTGCTAAAGGCAATAGCCTTGTTCACTCCATTTAGCACGCACACTATTCTGCAGTATATTTGTTTTTACCCTGCCTGCAGTTAAATGCTTTTGAGTTAACACAACATTGGAAGCCACCACCCAAAGATCAACAGTGGATAGAACATGTCGAATGATGAACGATGGTGATATCCAGCAGTAGATTGACAAAGCACTGTAAAATGTATTCCTCACAATGACTAGCTATAGAACCCGTTGCACTGTAATGGAATATACGAGTATTTGGCTGCTACAAATTTACACGTAATAAGCCACTTCGTTGAGCTATCATTTGTGGCCAGATCACTTTCGAAAAAAATCTACATAGCTCAGTGGGCCTTACCTGGTAAAATAAAACATCGTTTTGACAAAGTTTAGTTTAAGGCGACGACTCTTATCACAATCTTGTAACCGGAGCACGAGACAATGTTTATTGTGATGTTTTTCTTTCTATTCTCCATGATTTTAAAAAAATATTCTGGCCAAAGAATTACATTAATAGGTGCACAAATGGCAAATTTAGATCAATCTTAAATGCACCGTGTCAGCCTTCTGCATTTGTTACTGCCACCTTATTACTTCCCTTCTACGTGACTTTACCGAAAGAACCAAGAAGATGAATCCCTGCAGTCACGAAAGCTTTAAATCGAAATATAGTGGCGCTATCTGTTGTCTTTAAAACTGCTTCTTCCGCCGTTTCAATTCAAGTCAATGTTCATTTGTCACACGGACAATTCCGTTTAGCCAGTTACTTGGCTAGCTCCGGTGGCAATGGCTGACAGCAGCCAATCGCAACAGAGTTACAGTTGGGGTGTAGAGGAGCACATCCGTTATACCAGTCAAACGAAGACCTCACAACATTCCTCAAACAGCCACTACCTGACAACAGACACACCACACAGTGCAATGCATTTGTAGATAGAAACTGGAGAAAACAACACCTCAATTGAAAGCTTCTGCACGTGTGTTACTCACCATTCTCTATTCACCAATTAAATCTCGTAACGCTCTGCTTCCTACAGCTATGTGAGATACGGACCCGTCGCTTTCACTCTGTTCGACGACCCGTTGAGGAAATGGATGGTCATTAGAAAGCACTGGGGTATCGATAAAAGCATGAAGGAATCACCCCCTGTTGCAGTGCGCACATGATTTAGCGATGCCGCTGCATAGGAAGTGTGGTGCAACCACGCACAATTAACAACAACAACAACACAAAATCAACACATTCGTCAGCGACAATGTCACCTTACAATGGAAACATGTGATAGGCGACGTTTCGGACGATGTCCTTTCTTCGTAAGCACGTGAGAATATACACAGCTGTGCCAAGGTCTGGCTCAATAAACACTCGTGTAGATTGCAGCCTGAGCATCACAGGCGTGCCACTCGGAACGATCAATAACGGCAATGTAAGCGGCGATATCGGCTCCCGTTCGTGGACACACCGCTCGTGTTTACCTTGGTGCAGAAAGAATTGGGTGAATTTGAGTTGAGGTGGTTGAGAAAGTAGCGTCTTTTATTAACTATTCGGGGCTTCATATTTACTTTGTCGGGGGCTCTGACAACTGTCCCGTTGATGTTGGGAGAGAGTTTGGTTCCTCAATCCCTCCGAGGTTTATTCGGTGGATAGCAAGTCCGCCTGTCAACCAGCCGGGAAACCAGAGGTCGCAACCGGGTACCCGATACCCGTAACCCTACCCGATACCCGGCTACCCGTACCCGGCCGGGTAAGGGTATCCGTTTGCGACCCTGGTGCGGCCGGGTACGGGTACGGCTAGACCGTGAGTCACTGGTGAGTAACTGTTTGTCACTCATTTCCCAACGTCTTGTCTCTTCTCACAATTCAAGTTCCTAGAATCAACCCACCCGCGCCTGCAACATGGCTTCATCCCAGAGGTCGCAATCAGGTACCCGATACCCGTACCCTACCCGTACCCGGCCGGGTACGGGTACCTGTTTGCGACCCTGGTGCGGCCGGGTACGGGTAAGGAATCAAAACCCGTTTGCGACCTCTGCGGAAAACTCGAGGCATGGATATAATTTTTGTTAAT